TTAAAAAGGCCGTCCCTGCTAACTAAATCAAAGGCCATTGTAAGATCTATGAAGGCCACAAAGAGTGGCTGTCATTGTTCTCTACATTTCTCCTGCAACTGTCTGAGGGAGCATACCATGGCAATGGTGCATCTATTAGCTCGAAATCCACACTGTGATTCTGTATAGACTGTCTGCAAGCACCTGGAGCCTCTTCAGCGTGACACGGGCAAGCAGCTTCCCTACAATGCTGAGAAGAGAGATGCCATGGTAGTTCTTATACAATGCGACACCTTTGTTCTTATACAATGTAAGGATGTTTGCATCCTTTATGTCCTGTGGTACTCCACCTTCCCTCCAGCAAAGACAAAAGATTTCATACAGCTCAGTGGTGATGATCTCTTTACAGCACTTCAACAGGGATGTAATTCTTCTCAGGTGCCTTCCTGGAATCCAAGGCCGCTTTTATTTCTGCTAAAGTTGGTTCACTGTCCAACTCTTCCAAGGCAGGCAGACACTCAATGTTATTTAATGCTACTTGAATTACTACATTCCCTCTAGAATATAGCTCAGAGTAGTGCTGCACCCAGCATTCCATCTGCTGTACTCAGTCCTGGATGATCATGCCTGTAGCAGTCTTCAAAGGAGCAGATTTCTTCTGTATTGGACTTAAAGCCTGCTTGATACCATCATACATTCCCTTGATGTTACCTATGTCCGCTGCTATCTATATCTGAGAGCAGATCTAAAGTCAATAATTGTCAGAATATCTCCTGGCAGTCTGTTGGACTTTGCTATAATCAACTCAAAGAACCTGCAAGTTGTACTCACTAGGACAGGCGTTGTATGCTGCTAGAGCTCTCCCCTATTCCTTGATGGCTGCCATCAACTCCTCTGAATGGGATTTGAACCAGTTTGCTGTCTTTTTGGTCTTCTTGCCAAATGTGGACAAGGCAGTGTTATAAACAACATTCTTGAATCGTTTAGGTGCATTTGCATCAGCAGGGTCTGGAAGAGTTTCCTCAAGCGTTTGAGCAAATTCCTCCACTTTTCTCTGATTGCAAGTCTTGCTGATGTCAATATGTGGTCTTCCTTCCTTTTTCATATGATACAATCTCTTTATTCACAGTTTTACTCTGCTACATACCAGGGAGAGATCAGTATCACAATCAGCACTCTGGTAACTGCATGTGATCACAATACTAGGAAGGTGAGAATGTCTAGTGAGGATCAGATGGAGCTGATGTCAATGCATCGACCTTGGATGTCTCCAAGAGACTCTGTGTTGAAGCTTTGTATTAAAGAACGTGTTGCTGACACAAAGACCATAATAACAGCAAATCTCCAGCAAGCGTTGGCCATTTTCGTTCATCTTCCCAATGCCAAACCAGCCTAGACAAGTGGGCCAAGAATTGTCATTAGCACCAACTCTAGTGTTAAAATCTCTGAGAATTTTCCTAACACCAGGGAGTCTTCTCTTCTCATGAGAAAAAAAATCAGACCATTGTCCAGTATTAAATGAATTCTGGCAGAACCCAGGGGGAAGAAGGTGATATAGAAATTCTCCTCTGCACACACAAAGTAAACAGCCACTTATTGACCTGCATCTAACCTTAAATAAAACATACAGATTTCTTCAGCAGTATTAGCAGAGGTAAAAGATACCACAGTCCTTATATAAAAAAAAGCTAGAGCCTAAATTTTAATTGTGGATCTGGTTAAAACAACACAGAGATTTTACTTGGTTTTTGACTCTTCTGCACAATCTCTCCAAGGCAGCAGAAAAACTCTTTACCTTGGAAGTACAATATATATAGCTCTGAACTGCATGTGTGATATTTTCCAAAGCATTTTGAAAGAGGAAGAAAACATTCATATTGATCCATGAGAGTAAAGCAACATCTGCAAATGGGCAATGAAGTAACAAAATATACAAAATTTCAATTCCTCCAGAAGCCTTAATAAGTCTATTTAATGTTTTTTTAAAAAATGTAAATTTATAATTATTCCTAATAAAGGTATTGCCATATGTTGTTTTTGGATTTTGTTTTATTCCAACAGCTGGGGGATTCTGGGACTTGTAATCTAAAAGAGGTAATGTCTGAAATTCTGTTGCCATAAATTATGTCATGTATCAATAATTATGTCATCAGTCACAGCCATTTTGGGGAATTAAAAGCTTCACATCCCCTCTTCCCTAAGTGATCCTTCAGGACTTTTTTTCATCCTAGGAAGCCTTTGGGAGCTGCAGAACAGGGTTGAACATTATTTAAAGTCAGAACTAGACTGGCAATTTTTGGATTTAAATCATTCCCTACCCAAAGTTTTCCTAGGATGAAGAGGGTCCTTAAGGATCCCTGGATCTGCAATGGGAAGCTTTTAATTTCCCCAAATAGCTTCAGCTAATGACACCACAGGAGATCCAAAGTGTAACTTCTGCTGACAGTATTCCAGCCATTGTGTCCATACAAGTTTTGGTCTTCATATCCTGCTATGGTTTTGCTGGTGGTTGGCCACTGCAGAAAGGACACTGTAGACCTTACGTCTCCTCCTCCTCTTACATTCTAAGTAACACAAATTTCATGAACCACCCTTGTTAGATATAAAAACCTAGATTCAATATCACTTTTGAATATAACTTACATATTATCTTCTGGTGCACTTACGGTAAAACATATAGACAGTGATCACTCAGCATTCTTTGGAGGATAACAGATGCCGCTCATTTTCATGCTGCTTCCTACTCTATGCTATTTCCCCCCCAGTGCTTCCTATTGTCACTTACTGCAAGAACATTCTATACTTGTTTTACTCTTCTCACCTCTTCCCATCTTCTTCTTCCCATTGTCTTAGTGATTTGCAACGTGTTGTTGTGATGTCTGCCACTTAACTGCCATGTGGGCATGTTAAGTGATCCAGCAGGTGAAGCCACACTTTTGGCCATCAGTTGTGCCATTTTAGCAATGTGTCATCTTGATAGCATACACTCAATGCAAAGGATAAAGTAAAAAAGTATAAAATTGGACTTGCATTGAAGATGTATGAATGTACTCAGATTTAGTAGGAAGTCATGGGATTTACTTGTTGTACAATGAAGGCAAGACTGTGATGTTGGAGTGGGGAAAACGGTTGGGCAGAGTAGAAGAAGAAATGAAGAACTGGTCAGGAAGAGGGTGCATCCTTGTTGAGAGGGCAACACCTATGTACGAAGCATGTCATCACAGCCCAAAATAGAACATACCCAATAGAATAGTGAGACAGAGCATGATAAGAAATCAAATACCCCCAAATATACCAAAGTAATTCATCACACTACTTCTTGTCAGTAGGAAAGCAGCATGAAAAAATTGTAGCTCACAATAGTTCACTGTGAAACAAAGGCATACAACTACATACTGTATGTGTTTTCAAAAAAAGAAGCCCTGAAATATTTCATAAGGCTATAGCATGCAAACATCCCCATCTGCTTTCCATCAACATTACTGCAGCTTCAAAGATCACAAATATGTACCTTATTTATATAATTAACACAGTTATACAAAAGTCTCTGAGAAATGTCACAGATAATTGCATTAAACAAAGTTTACAGTGTTAATGAACATTACATTTCCCCTGCAATTTGGTGTACATTTCAGTGCAAATGCAGCTTTTGGAATCTGTACTAACCTGTGAAAATAAAAACTTCACCCATGTTGACTGTGATTGTTCTGGCATTGGTTCTCAGCTCTGAGGTACAATGCACCAAATGGTACTCTTTATAAACGTAGGCAGCTATCAGTGCAGGTAAACATGATGTATTAGTGGCCATTACGTGGCCTGTTTCTTTTGTGAATGCACCAAATGGTACTCTTTATAAACGTTGTAGACAGCTATCAGTGTAGGTAAACATGATGTATTGGTGGCCATTACGTGGCCTGTTTCTTTTGTACAATTGTTCAAGTGTATTCAAGAGAAATAATTAAGTGGTTAACCATTTTACGTATAAAAGAACCATAATAGAAAAAGATAAGTGAAATGCAGTTTTGGCAGCAAGAAGGGTGCAAAGTTACTCAGCTGCTGTCCCCTGCTGCTGTTATTTTCATAAAGATCTACAGTAAAACCTGACACTGCACTGATGCATGAATAAAGATGTACTTTTTAGATGGTAAATCCTGGTGATCTCGCTGACTCTCTTTCTCATTTAGTACCAGGTAGTGGAGGAGCCAGTGTCAGGGCTCACCAGCAGTAGTAAGAGGGCACTGGGTCATTAGAAACACTGTAGTGTTTTGAGGAAAAGGGATTAAACCCACAAACTTTCACAGATGGGAAAAGTTCCTTTTGGGAGACTACAGTACCTGTAGTTCTACAGCTAGTACAGCCACTGACAAGGTTGGCTAAGAGCTTGTGGGAGCTATAATTCACTAAGCAATGTCCCCATTACAGTAGATGGTGGTGGCAAGGATATACATCCACACAACAATTTGTGATCCAAAATGATTTGTGCTTTTCAGTCTGCTTTACAGCTCCCCTCCTCCTGCTGGAGATAAAATGGCTAAAATTAGTCTGTTGATGTGGATTAACACTGCTGCCTGCAATTTGGATCTCCCTTACTGGTCTGGTTATAAGGACTGTCATAGTGAGCACCTAGGCATCAAAACACCCTCATTACACCACTGAGGAGGCCAGATGTGGGGAATGAGACTAGAACATGCAGACTGGAGCATGATTATTCACGCACTTCTATTATGTTTTCGAGGTATATGCTTTTTTCAAAACTCTTTCTCTGAGGAGAATCAGATGTTAGGGTTACCACAAATAATGATTGACTAACCAGGCCAATTGAAATTACTGTATTTCAGTTCAAAGTACACACACATATGCTACTTACACATAACACATGTCAGTAATATGAGCAGCTTATATTCTTATTTCTATGGTCCTACAACAATTCTTTGACATTCCCATTAAGATTCAAATGAGGCTAAACAGACAGACAGATAGAGCCATTACTTACAGTTGATGAAGAGAATGCCCAGCCTTACCTAACATGCGGTGCTGGATTTCCAGCAATTCTGCACTCAAGCAGCACCCTGCTTCCTTCAGCAACTTCTTGACTCCTCAGTTTCTGGATAAATCGAGGTGGTGAAGGTGGATGGTAGCTGCCTGTTGTGACCTGGTCCATGGAAGCGTTCTCACGGGCCTGACAGTCTTCTTCCCTTTGCAGCACAGGTTCTTCAGCACGAGTGACTTCAAGTATCTCATGTTCTGGTGTGGTCTCTAGGCATGTTTTGTCAAGAGCTGGGGTCCTTGAGGCTGATTGTTTATTTTTAGGGGAAAGGTAGCCACTGTCTGGAGAAGAAGAGTTTCCATCTGGGCTCCTGACCCTTGTCTTGGCTGCTTCCTGGAAGATGGAAGAGAGCTCTTCAATCAAAGTGGCTGCTTTGTCACATAGCTTATTCTTGAAGGGAACATTGTCTGCTGATGTTTGTTTGGATTTGGGGCTCATCTTCTGCGTAGTTGGACCAGCTCTTTTGGCACTTTTTAGACTACGAATAAAGCTTGGTCTTGCCGGCAGCAGGGGGGATATACCAAGTTGTTTCTCAGTTGCACCAACACAATTGTTTGCTTCTGGAAGATATGTATTTGGATATGTATTCTGGGTTTTTTGCTCTGGGGGAGGTTGTGCTGAGATCCGTAATGAGTTTGGGATGGTCTCCTGAGTCATCTTGGAGGCATCTTGATCTCTGGTCTCCCTAGAAGCATCATCCTCTGATGAGTTTGGAGTAGTGTTGAAGAAATATGTGAACTCCTGCTTTGTGTTTTCATCTTCATTATGAGAATTTGTAATAGATTTGTGAGCAAGTTCAAGGCTTCTGCTTATCTCATCTTCACTCAGAAAGGCAGAAAGCTCATTTGCAAACTCCCCATCTTGTATGTCTGATAGGGAGTCATAAAAGAGTTCATAAGATGAAGAGTCCTCAGATGGGTTTTCATGGTTTCCAGCAGAAGTGTTTTTTTCTGAAGGGTAAGTCCCCCTCATAATTAAAGACAGGGGTGAAGCCTGCTGATTGCAACGTCTGTCCTGCATACTGGAACACAGTAAATGAGGTCCTGATAAGTTAACGTCATGTAACTGCTCTTTCATCTCTACCATATTATAGGCTAATAAACTATGAAGAAAGGAGCAGAAGAGACAAAAGTATCATATATGCACTATGGTGGCAGTAGTATCATATTTTAACGTTTTACCAATATCCCCATGACTGTTGTACCAAGGACTCTGCTGTTGGGTTCCGTGTAGCTTTAACTATGGAACCAAGATTTTTTGCCTGAAACGTAAATGTTTAAGTACAGCAAGGATAGCTCAGTGGGTCAAAGCATTGATGTTGACAATTTGATTGCCCACAATGTTTTGTAGGAGAAGAGCAAGCCTGTATCGCCTTGGGCAAGAAGAGGGTTCTACATCTGAGTAGAGTAGAGTATCTAGGAAACCCTGGGAAGGGTTGCAATAAATTGAATTGATCTGATGGCATGTAATTCTAATTAGACATCCAAACTATCCAAATCCTAGGAATTAGTGTGGCATAGTAGTTGAAGTAGGACTAAGGAGATCTGGAATTCCACAGTAGTCCTCTAACCCTGCTCTGCTCCATATTATTCAAAGTCCCATCAGTGGAATCATGTCCTATTACTGGGTGGCCTTGGGGACAGTCAAACTCTCTCAGCCTTTCTCTCACATGGTTGCTCTGAAGATAGAAGTGGGGAGGAGGAGAGGTATGTATGACACTTTGAACACACTGGAGGAAAGGTGGGCTATAACTACTACCAATAAAAACCTATCAGTCACATTGAGGACAGCTCCCATAATGTCCAGAATTGCAATGCAATCGTCTGGAAGCTCCTCTGGACCATTCCCATCAAGGGGAATATTAAGATGTTTTGGCTAGGCAATTTTATTAAGACAGTTTTCCTTCATTAATCATTTGAGTTCTGGCCCATCTATCCCCTAATTAACTGGTTAAATAGAATTGCATGTCATTAAAATCTTGATGAAAAGTTTTGCATTGTGAGGGAGATGACCTACAGTTTACAACTGATAATCTAAAATGTACTATTCAGTGTTTAGAGTTATGGTTCCCAATCTTGGGTCCTCAGTACTTAGACTAAAACTCCCAGAAATCCTGGCCAGGACAACTAGTGCTAATCATGATATGCAGGCCTCTGAATATCACATGCTTGGAACTGCTGCAAGCTTCATGCAACAGAAGGTTGGCATCATCTTCATGCTCTGCTTGTGAGTATCTTCAGCATGTTGGACTAGAAATGTCTAACTAACAGAAAGATGGCTGTGCCTACTCACAAAAGCAGACAACGTGCATTTCATGAAATGCCTTTCAAGTGCACTGTAGGATAAGAATAGGAGAAGATGGTGAGTAGATATTTGTGTTTTTGGACTACAGCTCTTGCACTGACAACAACTAGAGCTGCCTGGGAAATTCTCTGGGCGACAGTTCAAAAACACAGATGTGCACACCTTTAATAACTGTTAAAGCACAGTTTTAAAGATATGTGAAAAGCAGGCAAGGCCTTGCAAGGAAATTGAAAACTTAACCTGGAAATGCTGTTACATCAAAGGTAAAAGCAACAAGTAACAGCATTTTGGTTTGAGAGCAGCAATTCAAAATAAAAAGACAAAACAAGAGAGAACATCCAGTCAACCCAACTGGTCAACTTTAAGCAAGACAGTACTGATTGTTCAACTGCATTTTGGAAGATGCATTTCACCATATGCTATATTATTTCAGAGATAGATGCATGACCTGATCCTCCTGAGATGCAATCGGATGTATTTTACATCAACCTGTGCCAGCTCTTGTTACATTTAGCTGTTCCTGCAGGACTTGGCTTGCATGATACTGTTAATTGACTGGTAGAGGTCCTGAACTTCCAAATAGGAACAGGCAACTTCTAATGTTTCCTCACTTTCTCAGAGCTATACCTTTGGGGCTTAGCTAAGTATAAAAAGGGACCTCTTAGAAACCTAGCTGTTTGCCGAGTGATTTTACGATCTGAATCTGATTTTATATATATTAATTTCTACAATTCCTTGTTAATCCAGTTTATGTCACAAATGACAATGCAAATGCCTTAAAGTGACACACAGCTTAATGTGTTGCAGCTTGATAGCCTTCAAAAAGAATGTGATATTAATCACAATATTTTCAGTCCAGTACAAAAGGTGCTTGCCTGCATGGGAAGTTAAACACAGAAGCAAAACTTCAACATATTCAAGGAGTTCTCTGTTCACCTTGATGAAGAGGGTTAGCACCATACATTGTTCTACAGCCACACCTACTTGGAAAAAAAACGAGAAAGCTCATATGCTTGGGAGCTCATTGATCACTGTGTACATGGAACTCTGGGTTGAAACTAATCCAGGGATGTAAATGATTTGTTGTGCTAGTATTATTGCAAATGGTTTTCTTGTTACAACCTACTGGAAGGTCAGCATGGGGATAGCTACACTGGTTAGGAACAGGACTAGTAGAGCTATCCACCTCCCCAAGGCATGGGGGATCATGTGACACAGGTACACATCTTGCTTTGGCGGTGCCATATACTTTACTTCCAGTTAACAAGATGGGTCACACGGAGCTATGTGCCTACGTGGTCTCCCCACAGTCCTGTCATCCTTGTTTTTTCTTCCAATGAGCAGGCTGGGATAGGTAGTCTGGTCAGCAGTCAGGTCAGCCAAGACTGGGATCCTACTCTCATGCTTGAGCCAAAGCAACGTGCAGCTATAACTAATAAAGTATTGGCCAGTTCCTTCCAACTGATGGTGTGGCGTCTACTATTATGCATCCTGCTGCTGGGGGGTGGGGTTGATAAGCTCCCACAACTCTTGCTGTTTGGCCTGCAGATACCCTAACTTTGTAAAAATGGGTATAAACAGCATAATTTCATTTCTGATTTTGAAAAGCCATCAACTTTTCTTAGATATCATACTTAACTTCCTATCATTATTTCCTGTTCTAGTGATAGGTGACACAAATGACTACATGACTCTTATGTACCCATAGTGCTCTGTGCAAACGTGGACTGCTCTGCATTCAGAATGCTGACCATGAGCAATACATGGTGGGCACAGAGCACTGAACATCATGGAAGAGAATGAGGCCTCAATACAACGGTGGATGCAACACAGGGAGAGTTGGCTGTGATAATTTCTCACTGAAATTGGGTTGCCTCTAGTATGCCATCCAGTGCTCAATAACACAGCAGGCAAAATATACCATAATTTCCTTTCAGTTACAGTACTTACAGAAGTATAAGTCTTATTGCAAATCTAGAAGAGCCAGCTATCTAATTGGATGTGCCTAAAAATAGGCACTATGCAAATATTTTGGCACCTAGCAACATAGCTAGATTACTAGAAGGTGCAACATTCTTCAGTAAGGGAAAATACAGTGAGTGCTCTTCTGGGAATCACAATGGTTGGTTCCTCTTAACATTTGAATAGACATTTTGATACTTATAAAATATGATGTCATTTTCAACTGAATGCCTTCAAATTTGCATGATTTGAATAATCCCTCAGCCCACTGCATGTATTTCAGTGGGTACTAAGTATTGAGTTGGCTTGCAGCCAGAAGTTACTAACCTACAATGTCATCCAGGAAATCCAGTTTTCTTTTGCCAGAACTCTACCCCTTTAAATCAGAGCTAATCTAGTTAAAATAACACTTGAATCCTATCGGATGACATACATGAGCATAACTAGACCAAGCCTATGAGCTATTTCTAGACTCCTCTGATTATATTGCGGCATATTTATAAACACTTTCCTCATCTCTATTAAAAAGTTTAATAATAATAGTGAAACTACGTACTGTACAATTTTAAAAAATGCTGGAAATGAAATATTATTACAGCTAACCAATACATTGGATACAGTTAACACATGATCACTTTGCTTGATATTTTGCACCATACATATCAAGCAAATAATATAGATTATCAGAGAATTTTTGGAAACTACAGTGAAATAAATAATTTGCTGTACATAACACTTCTTAGACCTATTAAAAAGTAGCAGTCCATTAGATAATATTGCAAGTGAGTACATAATATTATTAAATGAATGTTTTAATTCTGGTTTTCTTGGTGTAATTATTAAAGAAAGAAAATGCAAATGATGAAAATACAAATGATAAATCATGGATACAAAGTTTCAAAAATAAATCTTTAAAAAATAAATTAGGCACACAGGAAAAGTAGTGATAGTTAATTAAATCACTTAATTAATAGCAAAATACAAAGCAGTAATTATTAGTGAACTTCATATTAACTAAGCAAAATTGATTAGCAAAGAATCCAAGCACACATCACAAACCTTTCTGATTGTAAGCCAGTGCAAAATGTTTCATATATAATATGTGTATGGCAAGGAAACTCTTTCCCCCTTTTCTCTAAGAAGGCTGAACGTTGCTTTAGCTATTCATTCAAGTTTGCTTGGTCCGCAGTAAGCACTGAGGTGACTGTGGGCTCTGAGTTACATCTGTCTTCTCTGACTATGTGATTCCTACCGTTCCCATCTATATTTGGTAACTGAACTCATGTTTCAGCGGACTGACAGTTATCTGGAATTCCAAAAGAACAGACATTGGGCCCCGATGAACAAGCAACTTATGTGTGCTCCATAGAGTTATTAGGGTTTATAAAATGCAATTCAGTATAGTATTTTTTAAAACTGAAGTGTGTTGTTTCGTTTTTTAAAATGTGGCACTACTTAAAGGCATCTAGCCCAAGGGAGCATTTTGGAAGGTTTGGTGATAAGTAAATAAGGTTCCTCAGAAGACATTCCAGGGGTGAAATCAGTCATCTTTTTGCTGCCAAAGTTTAACACTTGTTTTGGTATCTTGATAAACGCACAGAAACTCGGTTTACATTTCTACAGTATTTAGAAATAAGTGACACCCTGTAACTTTCAAAGTTCTTCATGATTTTTCACAAAATATTGTGTGAAAGCTCTGATACACTTCCTCCCTTCCTCCCCTTCCATATTTACGTTTTACATTACAACAACATAGCTATATTAAAAAAACTACTTTGAACTTTTGTAATTTTTAAATTTGTGATCTGAAAGAGTACACCATGTGATTAATACATGAAACTGCATGGTTAATTTGTCTTCATAAACTTTTCAGGCTTGAGGTGTTGATTTGTAACATAGGGCTTAGCTTTTAATTTTGAGACTTCACTCTTAACCTTATTTATCTCAAAATAACTTCTCTGTAACTCAATGGAACCTACTTCTGAGTACGTGCAAAGGATTGTGCTGTTAATGTGTCTGTTTTTCCTTGTCCTTCTGTGAGGGGTGAAGGTGTACAATCCTAGTGAGCCATCTGGCCCCCTGCACAGGTAGCAGGCAGCCGGGAGAAGGCTGAGTTGCTTCAGGATCAGACCTGCTAGAGTCCCTGCAGCTGCAGGAAAGACAGCATCCTGATGAGAGACAGCTGGAGGAGGCAGGGTCAAGGGGAATAATAGACCAGAACTGGGAATGCAAGAGGTCATCACCCATCTTGGAAGAAAAAAGATGTATGGGAGAAGGTCAAAAATTGTCTACGTTTACCACGTTCATAGACTTGTGGCAGGAGTTGCATGTTCAGACAAGGTTATGTTAGCCTGGATGGTGCTGCAGCTCTAGAAAGGCAAGTGAGTAAAGGGACCAGGAGATGAGCTACAGAGGTTGAGTTCATGGGCTCCTTTATATAAGCCTTGCCTCAAAGGGATGTCTTCTGGACTAAGTTCTCTCCTCTTTCTTGCTTTCCAGAAACTGGACTCTGAGGGAATTTCACTGAAACTAACTAATTCAGAGAGTTAGTGCTGAAAATGTAAGCCAAACTGGTACAAAATGCACCTCATGAAACAGTTTGAAAAACTGCAGTTTATTTATTTCATTCTGCTCTGTGCACCTGGATGACAGATTTCTTTGCATCAAATCCTATGCAAACCCCAGCTATGGTTCCCAGAATTTTATAGGGGATACTGTATAATGACATCTAATACAGGATAATATGGTGGATTTCAATGTGAGGAGAGCAGGTGTTCCCTCCTGGAAGACCACATGGGGTAGTTTAAAATGCTCTGTAAAGCATGGTGTTTTCTGGAAAATTAAATCCAAAATTTCAATTTTTTTAAAGACCAAAGATAAGGGCATGTATGATTGCCAACAGGATCCAGCAATTCTTCATTCTTCAGACAGTTCAGATTGTAGATTGCCCAGCTGCTGGGGAGTTGCCAGGCCTTAAAATCTAAAGTGCTCTGGTGAGATCCAGCTGGTAGTGATAACCTACCACGATAGGTGGGAAAAGCTCTGCAAAGAAGAAGGCTGATTGGTAGTGAAAGTCTTCCTCCTCTGAGATCCATTTGATTGATAAAAAAGATTACTTACCTGTAATTTTGATTCTTCAAGTGGCCATCTGTGAATTCACACTAATGGGTTTTACTACAGTTGCGCAGTGAACCTCGCAATATTCTAGAGCTTAAAACGCATGTTGTTAGGACCTCCTTCACATTAAGGTTAGCTCTGCCCATGGCACTGAGTGCCTCAGTTCCTTTTTTTTGCTACCACTGCAGCAGCGCCTCACTTTGGAGCTTTCCTTTTTTCTTCTGGAAATTCTAATCTTTCGGCTACAACCTTGGCTTGCGACTTCACTAACGGACCTTCCTCTGTTAGTTGGAAATATATATAAGTGTTAAAAAGGAAGAGAGAGAGAGAGAGAGAGTTGGGAAATTGCTAACTGTTTTTCCTGCCCTTTTTGCCATTGGGCCTACTCTCTTTTTTTATCGTCTCTTCAGGCCCCATTAAGCGCTGTGAATCTTGCCCGAATAAAATTACACTTTTCGACGGGCATTCACAGTGTCTTTTCTGTTTGGGCGAGGCATGTTCATGCTAGGCCTGCAAGAATTTAACTAATCCAGTCCTCAAATTAAGGCTTCAACTATTGGAATCCTTTGTTTGGGAGAAGTCCCTCCAACCATCGCAGGGTCCATGGAATCCTCTGAAACTCGCATCTTGGAAAAAGGCTGATTATGCTTTTCAAGAGATTATTTTTTTATACATTCCAAGTGCAAAAACTATGTGAAACTAACACCAAAAAAGGTGTTGGAAGTGCATGTTATGGTTCCTCTTTCTACTGTCTTCAGAGAAGGCTCTTCTCACAGATCTATCACAAATCAATGCACTTTATAAACCAGTACAAACATACCACACTGTCCCTTTCTTCCTGTTATCTTTGTGCTTCTGTGTCTCTATTCTGTGTCTCCATTCTTTTAAACAAATGCTGGGGTTAAATTCATTTAATCTACTGTATTTTAGGTCCATGTGCATTTTCTAATGGTGCCATGGCTTCGGTATTGGTGGAAAGTATATTTAACAGCCAGAATCCTGTTGGTGAATTACATGTGTCTAAGTTAAATTGTGTAAACTCACTGTGGTGAACTGCCAACCACAAATGTGGTAATAGTCACCATACTAGGTGCACACTTACTTGTGTAACTCGATACATATCTTGTAATGTGACCTGTGCCTTGTTAGCAGTAGTTTGCCATATTGAGTTTTGCAATAAAACAAACATGTAAATCATCAACAGAATTCTGGCCAATGTTTCCAATGAAGTTTCAGTGATTTAGATACTTGGCCAGTTCTGGAATGCATAATCACAAATACAATAAAGAAAGTTAGCACCTTACATTCAAAATGGAGGCCGTATGGTCAATGCAGTATAAATATATTAATTTATACAACAGAGCAAGCTGCAACATCTCCTTCCCATGAGATTCAATGAAAGACTTCAGAAAAGAGGGAAAGAGAGGAGAATGTGAACAAAGAATATAAGAACCTGGATAGCTCAGTGGTTTAGGTACATGGCTGCAGAGCCAGAGGTTGGGAGTTTGATTCCCCATTGTGGCTCCTTGACAGGGGCTAGGCTTGATGATCCATAGGCTCCCTTCCAGCTCAGTCATTCTAAGATGATGATTATGATTAATCATTTCTTTACAAACTTAACAGACTGAAAATATAAGAAATCTATTATATTATAGGTCTGCCAAATTCACACTTATCTATCAAATTGGTGTAAGTACTGTAGCAATTTCTCTTGGAATACATTTCATTTAAGGCTACATGGAAGTGTAGAGAGAAAATCCAGTTTATGGAGATATGGCTATGTTGCTGAAGAATGGATTTGCCATTAATGTATTTCTATTAAAGCTCAGATGACTCATGCATGGAATCAGAATTTATTTCTCTAATGATTTAATGTCCTCTGACAGTTAAAAAGCAAAGCAAACCTTGCAGGATTTCAATATAAGATGAAGAAGCACGAACTACAGCTGAGCTATAAAGTTCCATGCCAATGAAATCCAAGGAACTTCCTGGATAGGAGGCTGAAAATGATACCAAGGAAGGCTATGCAGAAGACCATCATAGCAGCATAGTGTTACGATCGGAGGGTGACTCTTCTGGATTTTCCATCAGTCATAGCTCTGTGTAAGTAAGTGGAATACATTCTATATTTTCAGCCATATTCCTCCAAAAAAGAGGTTTAAAACAACATATCCAGAACAGAGATAAAGCCAGCATCAGGATTATGTCTGTTGGAGTGTAATCTTCCCTTCTGAATTCTATACACAGCACATGTGTCAGAACATTCCACATAGATTAGATTTAGTTTTAAAAAGAGAGTGAGTTGCCAGTCTTCATCACTGCAATTTTCTCAAAGGTAGGGAACAGTAAACAAAGGCAACGCTATGACAAGGACAGGCTGACACACAGGTTAGTGGAGTAATGCATGTGATTATTTGTACGAATCTCATTGCTGAATATACTTGTATTTCTACAGAAAGGGAGAATGACATTAACATTAAGACTGCTGCAACAGTGAATAAATATTTATTAATTATGTTCATCTCTTTTTATCTTCAGAAAGTTCAGGGCAGCTTATATGTGGCTCCTTGCATAGATGATGAACCTGATTTCACATAATTGTTTGTAAACTGACCATAATGCCTGGGAAGTGGTGGTCTAACAAATCTTAAAAGTATTTTATTATGATGATTAAGAGAAGTGAGGTGAGAAAGGGAGAAACAATACCTAATCTCAATTTAATAAGCCATGGTTTATTTTTGTCAGTGGTTGTTCTCAACTTTTTTCGAGTTGCTACCCTCTTTTATAACAGCCAAGTAACCTGCAAGACCCACAATGCTTGCATAAAAAGGCATTTTAATGGGATAAAATCCCTTCTCAGAAAGTAGAAGCTTCTTTCTCCCCACAAAGGGTGTCTC